CCATTGTCTGCCAACCCTATATATGATCTTGGATACACTCTCCATTTAGACATACCTATCTTCGTTCTGTTTTGCTCTAGACGAATAGAGGCCAGTAATTAACTATTTCTTAGCTGGCTGCTCTCTAGCTTTAAGACCCTCTAACAATTGTCTTTTGATGAACATGTTTATCTCCCTTTTTTTACTATTTTAGGCTCTACCTTCTTCACAGGAGGAAGTATTTACGTAATTTTAAGAAACCAATAGCCCATTCATAATTTCTCCACAATTTAAAAAATATCCATGAATAAACTTAATTATAAGTTGGAAATGGCTTTTTGAAAACAAATTACAAAACTTTAATGAAAGTCATAAAACAAGATTTTAATGAATTAGAAGCTAAACCATATTCCTGAACAGGAGGATTCAATCCTATAATGCCATCAGTCCTCCCCAGTTTACTATATAAGTGTAATGCTATTTAAATCAGAATTTTAACTTTTTTTTAATTGACAAATTGATAATAAAATTTATCTTGTTGTTGTTATGTGCCGTAGAGTCAGTCCCAACTCATAACAACCCCTTCTTGGATTTCTGAGGCAGTATCACTACGGAAGTAGATTGCCCAACCTTTCTTCCAAGGAGTGGCTGGTGGGTTTGAACCACCAGCCTCTTGGTTAGCAGTCAAGTGTCTTAGGCACTATGCTACAAGAGCTCCCAAAAATTTATCTCAGAGAATGAATTTTCAAAAACTAATCATGAAAATTTAGGAAAGAGAAAAATGGAGGATTTGCCTTATTAGATACCAGAAACATTATAAAGTTGTGATAAGTAAATCAGTAAGGTACTAGTATAGCTGGAGACAAGATTAGGGGCACATGATAACCCAGAAGCAAGCACATGTATGTATGGGAATTTGGTGTATAAGGAAGGTAATATATTAAATGATTAGAGATAGAATGAAGTTGTGAGACAATTGGCTATCCATTTGGGGAAAAAAAAAAAAAAAATATATATATATATATATATATATACACACATACACACACACTTATATATATAAACCATGTAGATAAATTAATTCAAACAAAGTACAGAGTTAATGTTGGAAAAAAAAAACAATACACACAACTATATTAATACGATAAGAAAATCAGATGAACTTGGCTAAATAACTTGTTTAGTTCTTTTGTTCTGCCTGTTAGTTCATCATTTAGTGCCTAGGGTCTTAAAAGCTTGCAAGCAGCCACTTAGTATTCAAAAATTGTTCTCAGTTTGCCTGAAGCAACAGTGGAAGAAGGAGAATCAGGAATGGGAGGAGAAAATGGAATATGTGTCTAATTGCCTCCATGAACAACTGCCTCCTTTGCTATGAGACCAGAATTGGATGGTGTCCAGCTACTGAATGTTGTGATCAAAGATTCTGCAGAAGAATCTTGATCAAAAAGGAGAAAATGCAGAACGGAATTTCAGATTCTTATGGGCTGCAGACTTTCTGGAGCCATGGAGGCTAGATGAACCCCTGAAACTATCGCTCTAAGATAATCTTTAAAACTTAAAGAAAAATATCCCCTGAAATCTTCTTAAAATCAAACACTAGCCTAATTAGTGAAGAATGTCTGCTTTGAGCGTTGTACTCTTTTCATATCTATCTATATGGGATCAAACTGACAATGTCAGTTCAGCAGGTTAGGTGGGAATATTAGGGGGCAGAGAGTTTATGTTAATGAGGGAAGAACAGCTCAGAAAAGGAGGTGAGAATAGTTGTATACCTTGAGTGTGATCACTGTCACTGAACTGTATGTATGTGTAGACATTGTTGGATTGGTGTATATTCTGTGTATATTGTCAGCAACAAAAAGTAAAATTATTGAAAAACAATGAACAAGTGGAAAAAAAAGTTTAAGAAGTGGTAGAAGAGAGACCCCCCCCCATAGAGTTGAAGGACGTTTTTTAAAAATATATATGTGTGTTGGGGGGGTTGTGAAAGGAGACCGCACAGTGACTTTTCTGGGGTGATAGAAACATTCTTTATCTTGTTGTGAGTGATGGTTAAAGAGTATATATATTTGTTGAAATTCATTGAGTTGTGCATTTTATTGTATGTAACTTATACCTCAATAAAGTACTCTTTGGATTAAAACAAAAAAAAGAATCCAGGAGAAATATTTATATTGTTAGGATAGTTTAGTGTTTCCTAGCGTAAGAAGCTTAAAAGCCATAAAAGGGGACATGTGATAGTCTAGACTCAGAATATAAAAAATTCTGAATACCAGTAGATACTGTAAACAAGTTAAAAAATTGACAGACTGAGAAAAATTACTTGTAATAGGTTTATAATTGACATATCCATGCAGAGCTGTTACATACCAGTAACAAAACTGAGCCAAGAGCCTTAACAGTCTTTCATGACCAACATCCAGACTTGCCACATCCACCCCCTTGCTTCCCACCCTCTTTTTTATATTTTCTCTGTACATACTATATACTTTTTTATTTTGTTTCCCCCCACTACTGAAATGTAATGTCCATAAAGACAGGGATTTTTTAAAAAAATGTTTATTGAAGAATTGATTGTAAAAGGAAAAATTTGGAAATCATCTTTTTCCTCACAGTATTTTAAAGCTGTAACTGAGGACACATATCTGATTGAAGATTGAATCGATAGATTGTAATACATCCATTCAGTGAAACATTATACAGTGGGATATTATTTGACCTTTGGAAGAATGACATATGTTCTGATGTGGAGAAATATCAATGGCATATTGTTAAATGAAGAAAGCAGATTACAGAGCTATGTGCACACTTATTTTTTGCAAAAAGAAAAATTTTTAAGCAGTCATGACTTTTTTTGAACCAGAGCCTGTCACTTGAATGATATGTCCATTTTCTCTGTTCCTATGGTGTGCTGGTACCATTGGGCATTATAATATCTAGTAACTATATGTACTTGACCATAATCTGGGCCCATTTTCTTCACAAATCCACACAGGAAGACAGCATAGCAGTGTATTTTACTTATAAAATATTTTGGCCCTGGTACAACATCTGCTGCTTTAGTGATTATTGAATATGACCAACTCCATCTTCGCTGATCAGGAAAAAGACAAAAAACCGTGTGCCCTGGGCTAGGAGTACTTTTCCTTCAGAGAGAGTGGTGCCGGGGACCACTGAACTTCAGCTTTTTGATTTTGGTCCATCCTATGTTTCTTCCAGGTGAGCCTGCCCACTGCAGAGATTGACTGCAGCCTAGCAGAGTACATTGACATGATCTGTGGTGAGTGCCCCCCCCCAACTCAATAGTCCTGTACCCCTGCTTCCTGTCTCTGGGTAAACACATTTCAGTCTTCTGAAAAGGCTGGTTGTTTACTCTGAGAAGATAAAATCTTGAATAATAGTCTTTATGTGACTACGTGCTTGGGTATATGACCCGGAGAGTCATAGGAACTCATCCTATGTGGCTGAGATATGATATGATAAATAGTTAGATCAACACAAAACAGTTTCTTTTCTTGGGGGCAGATTGGCTGCCCTGAACAGAAATGCCCCATAATTTGCATATTTTAGCTTGGTCTTATTTATGGGAGTTCTTTTTCATTTCAGCCATCCTAGACATCCCTATCTATAAGAGTCGGATTCAGTCCCTCCACTTGCTCTTTTCCCTCTACTCTGAATTCAAGAATTCACAGGTAAGACTAGCAACAAGGATTAGCCTAAGCAATACTGAGGAGCAGTGCAGTCTCCACTCTTCTGAGCCTGCTGCAGTTGTGTCTTGTGGCACTGGAGGATATCTCTGCCCACAGTTAACCGTTCCCTGCCAATAGCTGAGAGCAGCAAAGGAGGCAGAGGTGGAGCTTTCATAGGACGGAGAAAGTAGAAGAGATGTGAGCCTCAGATGAGGCGAAGTAAGGACCCACAGGGAACACTCATTCTTAGAGGAGAGCCAAGCAATCTAATGAACAGAAGCTGGAATGAAGTAAAAAGAGGCTTTATTTTTAAGGGAAATGAGCCGAATTTCTGGTTGCTTTTCAAAGACAGCATCAAGGAATTGTTTTAGAAGTAGAATTGGGAGGAAATTGGAGTTTAAAGGGTTGTGAAGAGGTTAGTTCTAAATGTAGTAACTAAACCAAAAAACCAAACTCACTGCTGTCAAGTTGATTTCGACTCATAGCGACCCTTCCTTGGGTTTCTGAGGCAGTATCACTACGGAAGTAGATTACCTCATCTTCCTTCCAAGGAGTGGCTGGTGGGTTTGAACCGCCAGCCTTCTGGTTAGCAGTCAAATGCCTTAGGCACTGTGCCACCAGAGCTCCTAAAATGTAGTAACCAGCATATCCCAAATACTCAGTGTTCCCTCTCCTCTTTCCTTACAGCATTTTAAAGCTCTAGCTGAGGGCAAGAAAGCATTCAGCCCTCCATCGAACTCGACTTCCCAAGCTGGAGATGCAGAGACATTAACCTTCAGTTGAGATACCACCCAAGTCTGTCTCAAGGCTGAGCTAGATCCTTTATCCCAGCTGAGAACAAGAGATCATGATCAGCCGCCTGGCTTCCTTGCTTGAGTCTCAGCTTGATGCAGGGACAATACTTCCTGCTATCCCCTCTACCAGAGAGCACTGCAGATGGTTGTTAAATGGCTTCTGCCTGTCTCTGACTTACTTCCTCTGGGAGTTATGCATCTATACCACTGTGGGGATTTGAGTCAGAAGAATTGGAATTTCTGGGATCAAAAGGAGCTCAGGTTGAGAGAAAAGCTACAAAGACGTTCTTTTTGGATGGAGATAGAATAACTCTTTCATTCTTTTTTTTTTTTTTTTTTT